ATCCACCCCCCCCAACCACTTTGATGCATTTTTCAAATTTCGCCTTTGGGCGGAGTTATCTTTTCACAGGGGGGGTGGTAAGATACACTTTAATGAGAAATAGTCAGTGTGCATGGAACATATTTGTACATGGCTTTAATGCCAGTACAGTTTCTTTCTAATTTAAAATTCAAAGGGTGTTGCTTATTTTTCTTGTTTTTARTTCACAGATCACGGTGATGACCAACAGCCTAAGATGTCGACAAACACGTTAATCAGAGGACGACCTYGAAGGAAACGCGCCAACAGGCTGAGCAGGGCATTCCTCATTGAGAAAGGAATTAAAGGAACACAGCTGAAGAAAGACTTGGTTCTCGGAGGGCGCGTTAACATTAATGATCTTGACAGTGCAGTSTGGCTGAATCCAACCGTTGTATTGAGACGGCTGACGGTCACAATTGGAGGATTTAAAATCGAGTTGCTTCCAGGACCCTCTTACACGCAGAGTGTTGATACAAGCCAGGCGGAATGTTTCGATGATGGCTTTTCTTTTAGTGGTGGTGACATGGGTTTGGGTGTCTTACCACCGGATGCTGTCAACATACAGAATGCTAATCCAGAGAATGAGGCAGAGATGGATGTAACTGAAGAGAGCTTGACGGATGACACAGCTCTTGGGCTGGGCCCGTATGTGAACCCTAATGATGTGCAGACCTCTAATGGGACATTAATGGAGAGCCTTTGCACAGAAGAGACAAAACAAGACAATCAGAATGTTCCAGAAAATAAAAAGCCAGTCAGTAAAAGAAAGGATGGGGTCAAACATCCACAAAGCWGTGAAAACGACACAGCTGCTGCTGGTGAAAAGGCTGATATTAAGGATAAGCATCAGGCTGTAGTCAAAACACTGCTCAAGTCCAAACAAGGACCAATACCTAACAAGAACAAGGACTTGATTTTGTGTAAAACGAGCCACACGATGAAGGAGCATAACGAATRCCAAAACAAGCCATCCAAACCTGTCCAAAGAGGAGACTTGCACAAAACAAAACCTCTAAAGGATAAACAAGCCGTTCCACCTTTGAAAAGGTCAGCTGAGAACCCTCAGAGTGAACCCATTGCTAAGATGCAAAAAGGACACGGCGCCGGAGATGACAAGTTAAAGCCAAAATCACCAACTACACCAAACCCCGTCGCAAAGAAGAGCCCGTCGTCTGTCGGTCGTTCCGGTGATCACCTGGGATCGCCCAAACAACGGAATCCTCACCACATCTCTAAAGCRGAGCCTGATCACCAGGCGAACAGTCACCCAGGCAGTTCTTCAAAACATCCTCAAGAGAGCGGGCAGGAGAAGTTTAAGCTGAAAAAGCTCGAAAAGGTTCTCGCAAAACATAAAAATAGGAACTCGAGAAGCATCTCTGTGGAGGAGCCGGAGCTGTTTGTTCCGGACAACGCTCCCGCTGTGAAGAAGGAAACCGCTGAAGAACAGCCTGCTAACAGCGAGGCCYTTTGGGATGGAAACAACTGCTGTGGTCTGTGTAAAAAACACCACAATAATATGTAAGGGTTGCTTTTTTGATATCAAGTGTAGCCTGTGTAGAAAAGAAAAAAAAATACTCGCATAAAGTTTTTTTTTTGCTTCTATCTGTTGAATTTAAACCTTCAAGCAAGACACATCTTTTAACAACCGTCTTGTGTCGTCTAGGTTCATGGTAGGCTGCGGTCGTTGTGACGACTGGTTCCATGGAGACTGCGTCGGTCTCGACCTGGCCAAGGTACGCGAAATGGAAGAAGAGGACCAGATGTARGTTTGCTTAAAATGTTGCGAAGAGGAAAGCAAGAAGGTGGAGCCTGAACCTCCTGCTGCAGCCAAGCCGGAAGCTCAAGAAAAGACAGAGGTACAGGATCATAAACTGGATCATAAGCTACATCCTAAGTCCCGTCCAGGATCCTCKCAGCCACTCGCATCAGGGGGTGTCAGACCAGTAAGAATGGTAAATAGAGTCTATACGAAGCCTTTAAATGTTTGTTTAAAATTTTAAAAAATGAAGACTAATATTTATTTTCCACAGCTTATCCATCTTCTGGTAATAGTCATAGCCAGTGTAACCATTATACAAGGGTTTGTTCTCTTCTTGTTTTTAACTTTGGCTGTGCAAGAGGTGTGCACATGGGTGTGTGGGTAACACAGTACACATACAGTTTCACACGAGTATCATATGTCAGTGTTTCCCATGTCTGTTTTTTTTTATTTCTCTGTTGAAAATGTGTAATTTAGAATATTTTTTTTCTTTAACAGGACCCAGAAAGGAGGCAGTCCTCAGATGTTCAAGAGGCAGCTCATAAAACAGGTGCTGTAATCAGCTGTGAACGTAATAAAATAATCTTGGTTCTGTTCTGTTTGCTTCAAGGCCGGGCTGGGTTCACCGAGTACAGGGTCCGCTGTCCTTATGTTACTAGAAACAAAATGTACTGAAGACAGTCATAAGTATATAGAACAGTCAAAAAGAAAAAAAATTGTATAGGTCTTCTGGACTGGTTCTTCTCTAATGAAACGTTTCGTCTCTCRTCCAAGAGACTTCTTCAGTCTGAGAGTTTCAGGCAAAATTCAGGCTTTTAATCACTGCTTCCATGTGACTGATACTCTCATCACATGGCTATCGTTGACACCTAATTAACACGTATTGTTAACAGGGGCTGGAGTGATACTGGCAGTAGCCGCACTGTAGGAGGGGGACAACTGAAAACGGAGGCCTCATAAAAATATGTTCCAAATTGTGTCAAAATTACAGACTTCAAGCTACACATCAAATTTTAAATTCTGTTGATGGAAAAATTGCAGAACTTTTTTTTTTAATGTTGGTCAGYTTTGAAGCAGAGAGGAGCACAGAGCAGACTGATGGTGACATTAATTGTATTAATCGTCAAGTGCCAATAAGTAATTGATTGTTTTTCTGACGATTAATTGCACACAATACGATTATGCCCAACCCTAGCTAGCACAAAGGCTAACAGGCTAAGCTGAGGTTCTTCTTCCATGAGGCAGCTCTGTTGTCCTCCATCTATATTTTCAGTTACAGGCTGAGTCATTTCTACCTTCTCCTCTCTGTCAACGCTCTCTGGTTTCATTTAAGAGTCGATCATCAGATATTGTCCAAGATTAACCTTCACGGTGGATATAGCTCACTCACACCAAGGACCTATCCACGTCATCATTTACCCAGAATGCTTTGTGTGTAAATAAAATGGCTCCGTCCGTGTTAAATACATATTTAAAAAAAATTACAAAACTAAACAGGCTACAGTATTTTTAGTCTTTATTTTACAGTTAAAATAAATGTTTATGAAATAAAGTCTAATGTTGCAACTAATCGTGAATGCTTTGTGTGTAAATAAAATGGCTCCGTCCGTGTTAAATACATATTTAAAAAAAAATTACAAAACTAAACAGGCTACAGTATTTTTAGTCTTTATTTTACAGTTAAAATAAATGTTTATGAAATAAAGTCTTATGTTGCAACTAATCGTGGATCCTTTTAAAAGTCTTAATCATCTAAATATACTAACAGTTCCTTGTARGTGGTGATAGCTGTTGAAGTCCTCATTGTTTTACCTTACACACTGACCAATGTATAAAGCTGCAATTATATGCTTTCGTTAAATCTAACAATTTTTTTAGATGTGATTAGTTCTGCCTTACCCGATAGATTTTATTCTTTCCTCACAGGTTTTTACTCGAAACACGAGACAAAAAGCAAGGCTCTTTCCATGGCTTCTAAGAAACCTGTTTCTGGGGAGGCAGTCAGAAGAAGTGTTCGTGATTCTCTGAAAGAAATCCTCACCCAGAGGTCAGTSTTTTATGATTATATGTAATTAATGGATATTTGAATAATGCACATTCTTTTTTAATCTTAGTATTGTGTAAAATATGTTTTATTTTTTCATTTTAGGCTAAAAGATTCTGATTTGAAAATATCAGTGGAGAGGGCCTCTGATGTCGCCAAGAAGACGGAGCGAGAACTGTTTCACCTGTATAAAGACACAGATCACAAATACAAGAACAAGTACAGAAGCCTGATGTTTAACCTCAAAGATACAAAAAATAATGTAAGTACTTTTTTTAATTATTAGGCAAATCCAAATATCTGTAGTTCTACCATGAACAGAGCTTAATTAGCTGTGGTTTTACTTGTTTTATTTTATGCAGGTTTTGTTCAGAAGGGTTCTCAAAGGGGAAATATCTCCTAGTAACCTAATTCGCATGAGTCCTGAGGAACTGGCCTCCAAAGAGCTGGCTGCCTGGCGACAAAGAGAGAACAGACATGTAAATAATGCCTAAACCTTTGCTTTCAAATGCCACTTTTTTGTTATATGTCATTTAYTATCTCACAAGATGCTGTTTGTACAAGTTTATTGTTTTTATTTTTAAATTAGAAAAAAAAAAGCTTTGACTTATTAAGAAACTTCTCCTTTTTAGACAATTGAAATGATTGAAAAAGAGCAAAGGGAAGCAGAAAGACGACCCATCACTAAGATTACCCACAAAGGTGAAATTGAAATCGAGAGCCAGGAACCAATGAAAGCACCAGAGCCTGTAGAGGTAAGGTTTAAAGCAAATGTTACTTTATTTGTTTACTCTACAAAGTTAATAAATCAAATTAGAACAAGTAGATGACAGCTTGTTTTTTTTTTTTTTTTTTTACTTTAGATTGAGCCTCTTCCCAAAGTGATCGATGTTCCACCAGAACCCCCCAAACCCCCAGAGAATCAAGTAGAAAATGTCAAAATGGAAAAAGACACTACAAGTCAACACAAGTCCCACCTATTTGATCTTCACTGTAAAATCTGCACAGGTAAACATTAGGATGATAAAAGAACCAGGCATTAATTATTAATACCTCTTCATTTCTTACTTGGACTACTTCCTTGTTTAAGGTCGTATGGCCCCTCCTGTGGAGGAGGCAACAACCAAAGTGATGAAAGTTGCCACCACGGTGGTTCGGAGGCAGTCYACCAAATCAGAGGAGTCAAAGAGCACGACACCACCTGCAGCCGACGATGAACTGCACCTGACCGTTTTAGAAGAGAGTTTCCGAAATGCCCACTCAGGCTTTGAAACGAGGTGGGTAGTTTTTGTTCCTCCATGTGACTTTTGGGTTTTGRATTTTGGACTTTTGCTTGCTTTTTTCACAGCCTCTTTTGTTTTGGGCACAGGTTGGATCATGCAGCTGGAAGAGATGAAGAAGCGTCTTTCCTTACTAACCTGAAGTCCCTGTGGCGAGGATTCATCCACATGCACTCTGTAGCAAAACTTGTGACCAAAGCTTTTCCAGTCTCAGGCGTTTTGGACAACTTGACAGAGGTACACAGTTTCTAAAAACATYTTTAGACTTATGTAAGAGTCAGTTTTGGTTTATGATGTTGGTACTAGTATAGGAGATTGATTAGCATAARCCAAATAATTAAAATTTCTGTGCTGTTTAGAGTTGGAACTATTACTGTGAAGTAAAAAAAATCTACACCTCATTAGTTTTTCTTGATTGCTTTCATGTTAGAGTCAACTCAGACTGCACATTTTCAAAACTGTTCATACACAGGCCTGAACAGAGGCACTGATGGTCAGAGTGACATTTTGTTTGCTAAAAGCTCTTACTGTGCCAAAACATTTTAAATCAAATATTGCCTTCAAACAACACAACTTGCAACCAAGTGTATGAGCTCTTCAAATCAATCATTGCATAATGCAGTGGTTCCCAACCTTTTTAGACTTGTGTACTCCCTGAGCCAGTTTGTCATACCACTAATACCCCCTTCTGTCAAACGTAATGAGTCTCCAAAACTTTATTGTACAWCAGCTGATTATTAAATAAAAATTATTTATTTAACCCCCTAGAATGTTTAGTTCTCAGGCATTTTATTCTTTTCAACTCAAATTAAACATAAAGATAAAACCATTGCCTTGAAAGTGACTAAGTAATTAAATAAATAAACCAAGTAATTGCAAGTGCAGGAAGCAGAAGTGTCCAAAATACATCAAATACCCAAAATGAGCAAATGTCGTGCGATTCTGCGTTTTGTACAAGATTCCATTTTGTGTCAATTTTACATCGGTCATTCCGTTTACATTTTCTGCGTTGTGGAAATCATATGGCCCTACATATCTCAGTCCTATTTTTATTTATTATTTTACACACCTGGAAAATTTTTCCACATACCCCTGGTTGGGAACCACTGGCATAATGGACCCAATATACAGCACTTGTCTTTGTAGCCTGTTACATTGCTTTCATGCCATTTGTTATCTTTCTACATAGGCTGTTAAATTTCCCTTCTCGCAAAACTTAAATATTGTAAATATCTCAGAAAATACTGTAAAGGTAAACCAAAATAAAATCAGAATAAATTGCAGTCCGTAATAGTTTCCCAAATTCCTTCTGAATCGTGGGCCCTTCACACTACACCTCACATCTTCCTTGAAACCCTGTACTTCTTACTCTCATCTGGTCTGGACCTCCTCTTTCTATGTTGGTAAAGAACAACACAAACCTTGTAAGGCCTGCAGACTGATTGCTAAGTAAAGGTTTTTGTGAAGGAGTGTCAAACAGGTGCTTCAGTGATGTCATATTGACCTAAGTAGCTTCTAATAGTCAGGAACAGGTGGTTTCTGTTGTCATTGCTAAAACAATGGAGTTTGGACTGCTTGAGTGACATCTGTGTTAACTGTTTAAAAAGGGTGGAGAAAAATAGTGTTAGTCTAATGAGGAAGGATTAACACATTTGCAAGAGGTGTCTTCTGCTCTGCTGGAATAGTTATGATGAAAACTGAGTGGATTCCAGAAAAAATCAAGAAAAACTAGTCAAAACAGGAAATCTGATACTAAATAAAGACTAAACATCCAGTAACAGAATTTAGACAAGTACTTAAGACTACTTAAAGATTTGTGCATAAATGTTTTTTTTTTCTCTCAACAGGATCTTCCAGACAGCATCCAGGTTGGTGGGAGGATAAGTCCTCAGATTGTGTGGGATTACTTGGAGAAGATTCGAGCAACTGGAACAAAAGTGAGTTTTAAGCGTTTTTACATTTTTCTCTGAACTACTTGAACAGGATTACCTGAAGTGCCTACCAGACAAATCAAACCCAGAAATAACAAAGCTTGTTATGTTGCAGTGACAAAACCCTGACTAACCCTAATCCTAATGAAAATTCTAATGTGTTGGAAATAATGTTTAGTGGAATGTACAAAGGTAAAAGTAGGAGGGAATATCTTCTCGTTTTGATGGCAACACATAGAACAATGACCCACGTGTATATTTTCAAATGCAGAAGCATCGRCAGACATTATACTGACACATGCTTTTTGTTTTATTACAGGAGGTGTGCCTGGTTCGCTTCTCCCCTGAAACAGAGGAAGATGAGATCTCCTATACACTTCTTTATGCCTACTTCAGTAGCCGTAGACGTTTCGGGGTGGTGTCCAATAACCTCAAACAAGTGAAGGACATGTATCTTATTCCCTTGGGTTCCACAGAGAAAGTCCCCCATCAGCTCGTTCCTTTTGATGGACCAGGTAACCTGAAGAGTAAAACTATTTTCCCATTTGATAGTGGTTTTATTTCATGTTTTCTTAAACTGAACTCATTTTTGAACTTGATAGGTTTAGAAAACAACCGGGCCAATCTGCTCCTTGGACTCATAATTCGCCAGAGACCGAAAAGGGATTTTCTTCCTGTGGTTGCAACCGAACCTGTCAGGGTTGTCCCTGAAAGCAAGCCCATCCCCATTCCCACAAAAGTTACTCGAACCACTGAGGAGGAAGAGAAGTTGTTCCTGTCCACTTTGGCCGCGCCGCCAAAGAAAGAGCTTGACAAACCCTTTGAGATGACTGAAGATGAGCCTGTGGCAGAGTCTTCTGAAGAACCATCAGCAATGGAGGAGTCCGGCAGTCAGGAACCGCAAAAGCCACTTCGCTTTCTCCCTGGTGTGTTGGTGGGTTGGGGTGGGGAACTGCCTCCTTTGCCAGATTTTAGTGATAAGCCACTGCCTACAGAACAAGATACTCCTCCTAACATCCAGCCTGCTCCCAAAGAGGATGCATCGACTGGTCATGCTAAAAGTCCAACAGCGACTGCTTCCCGCTTTGTCATCAAAAAGAAAGAAACAAAACCTGTTAAACCTGAGCCTGAGATGTTGAGTCCAGATGACGCACCTGCTTTGAACAGCTCATCAGGAAACGACCCCGCAAAAGTGGTCCATCAACCATCAGTCACGCTGAAAGATAAACCTCCAGATGTATCAACCGACGATTTCCTGGCAAGCTTGTCAGCTGCTCCGAGTGGTACCGAAACTGAAAAAGGGGAAAGTGAAGGGAATTTGTTGTTGCTGTCAGAATCTCAGGCTGCTTCAGATCACACAGATGGTTCGAAACCAGGTTTAAGTGGGATATTGAAAAAATCTTCAGCATATTCCCCTGTGAATGAAGTTAAATTAGTGGTACAGCCGAAGGATAAAGCCAGCCTCTCAGATGCCTCAAGCCCCAAACCAGTTCCTGTAATGAGCAGCACTAGAAGGGAGCCAGTATTACCATTTCATCAAGGATATTTACAGCTGTCTCAGGCCAGACACAAACCTGAAGAAACCCCAACAGCTACACAACCATTTCTCAGTAAAAAGATTGATCATGGCGCTGGAGCAACACTAATGCTAAATCTTCCTCAAGATATTTCTATCACAGAACTTGATTCTGTTACTACTGTGCCAGAACACAACAGCGCAGCTCGTTCTAATACCGTCTCCACCACAGACACGGACGACAGCTCTTCACAGGCTTCTTCTGGACTTCAGCCACAAAACCCAGAGAGTCTCTCAGAACCATCTGGCCAAATCTCCTCTTTGGCCAAAGACTATAAACGTCTGGATGAGCGATATAATGACCCTTGGGAGAGGCCGCGGAATTCTGAAGACCGAGACCATCACGGGAGGCACGGCTACTACAAGGACTCCCATCACGGCAAGAAGAGCCGGCACCGAGAGCGGCATAGCCACGACGACAAGTACAGGGAGAGGAGCAGGCACCACGGACACTCAGAAGACCGTCACGGAGAGAGGAGGAAAGAGAAGCACCACAGCCAAGAGTACGGTAGCCATCACAAGGACCGACACAGGCACAGACGGGACTCTGATTACGAAAACGGACGAAGAAGTTCAAAAGACAGTTGCTCGTAATTTTATTGTACTTTTTTTCACCTGCCATCCCAGAGCATTTGGGACTTTTAAGACTTTTTTTGGCTCCTTTGCCACATGACTGATACAAACCGTTTGACTACACTGGCTGCTGGTGGAGTTGTTTTATACACCAGCGTGTATCTCCTTTCATATAAATGTTCCATTTATTGTTAACAGTTCAGCCAAAATGACGTTTCAGTTCAATTCTAAACAATACAATTTTTATTCCGACCATGCATAAACGTAATCTCGGAACATTTTCAATTATTTATTGTATATATCTTGTTCATATTGAGCTGCTGYTCACAGGGTGGACTGTGCATTGAAATTACAAGATGAGATCTAATTTTAGCCTAAATGTTTTACATCATATTTATGAACCAATCTAAAGAGCAGCATAGTCTTTTTTTTTTCATTGCTTAAATATTTTTAAACAATTTCATTAAACTGTACATTTTGGCTTTATAATTATACATTAGAGAATAAGTGTGCCTTTGCACTGTGTGTTTAATGTACAGTTCGTAATAAAACTAATCTTTCTTTTTTATTGTTGATTATAAAGAAGGTGCTGTATTTTTTATGTAATAAAAGTAGTTACCGATACATGATAAAAATACCACTAAAATCACCTTTTAAGTCTTTTGTACAGGTTAAGAAGTACGGTTTCATTGTTATTCAACACCCTCATAAATATTAAAACCGTCGCTATTTTTCAAAAACTGCACCGGTGTTGTATCTCCAAACAAAAAAACATTCCTGACACTTCCCTCAAAGCCCTTTGAAAAAGTCCCAGAGGTGACGACAGAGACATTTCTGTGTAATTCAAARCCTCCAAAGTAAACCAGACCCCCGTAGTTTAAGGCTACATATCTCTCAAACGGGTCCACATCTTCAAAAACGATTTTATCACCATCCAGGAACACCTGAAGAATRGTGCTGTCGAGGCTTAAGGACACATTGTACCACTTGTTGCAGCAGAGAGAGCGCTTTTCGAAAGTTAATGGACGACAAAGTCTTTCTCCCAGATTAACTGCAATCTTCAGATGGCCTCTTTCAAGTCCAACTGCGAGGTAGTCATCATCTTCATGTTCAGCTTTTCCCATCCACATGATCAAACCCTCACTGGAGCTTGTGCGGACATCAAAAGTGATTTGTGCGTTCTTTAAGCTCCTTGTATTGAATCTCTGGTCTCTATATTTAATGTAGGAATTTCCAACAAACCTGAAAGTGTCTGAGGACAGTTCTTTGTCGCAGTTTGTCCCTGCCCATCCTATGGGGCATATGCAGCTGTAGGAGGTGGCAGTAGATGGAACACACAGGGAACCATGTCTGCAGGTGTTATTTGTGCAGCTTACAGACAGGTTACACTTAYAGCCAGTCCATAACGATGGGCATGTACAAATAAATGAGGTGACCCCTGTGGTTTTGCATTGACCCTTGTTTTTACACACTTTATACCCACAAGGCGTCCCATCCCAGTCTCCAATGTTTGCTCCAGCAACCGCTCCCGTCTCTGTCAGCTCGAGTTCTTGACCGTTGATTAGAAGTTCTCTCAGGCCACCTGTGAAGCTCATCGGCTCCCTTTCAGTTGCATCAGGGGAGACGAAGCTCAGCGTGGACACGCCTCCAACAAAGATCTCGGTGGCGACATCGAGGGTGGCCATTCCTTCAGTCACTTTTTCTCCAACTTCCTTCCCGTCCAGACTAAGAAAGCCCCGGTGACCAGTTCGACCTGCCTTAACCGTGTGCCACATCCTGCCGTGCAAGTCCACTRTCTTATCCGACTGCAGGATGTTGGTGCCGTCCCCTAAATTGTATCTCAACTGGACAAACCCCGATGACAAGGAGAGGCAGAAGAAATCGCCTGGAAAAATGTAACGAAAGGAAAAATAAACTTATGTTAAAAATGTTTTATCTGGCAGAAAAAAATGGCCAATTACTAAACACTTTAACACATCCCTTAAATGTACAGTTAGGAGTTTTCAGTTATGTTTGTACTTTCAATTACAGAACTAAACACTTCATCACGCAGTGCTTGGGGGCTTTAACAAGTAGAATATGCCTGTGGTTTATCCGTGAGCAGTCTAAATGATCTTATTCTCTTAACACTCTCCAAGTAGTGTGGATTGATATTTTATTACTTAAAATCAAGCATGTTTCTTATTGACTTAAGTATGAACTAACAAAGACCTGATACATTTATTGACTTTGATTTTACAAGTTTGCCACTAAATTCAAATCAGTAATTCTTGTGAAAAAATCCCTTTGTCATCTGCCATTAGTGCATGAAACTAATGCACTGTCTTTGACACTTTTATAGAAAAAAAAACATGCCTTGAAATTATTTTTTGTTTTTTTTTCCCCCTTATACAATATTGCATTAAAGTGCCTGTGACATGCTTATCGTTCTGACACAAAATGTCAAAAAAAAACCTTTGAGAAACTTGGCATACCACACATTATTTTACCCACTTGGACCCATAACTGGCCTATTTTCTTTTGAACTTGGCTCAGCAAAAGGGAAACAGGAAGTGACATCAAAGAGGAACTCATTTAAGAAAAATAACTCACTGGTCTTTGTTTATTGAAACATTATGATTTGAACTCTGACTTATTTTCTTGTCTGATAGTGACTCAAAATAATCTAAAATATCAGATTCCTCTCCACAGTCTGGCCTGTTGAGCATTTTAGCTTTGCTTTATTTTTCTGCAGACATTCCCCTTTGACATCACTTCCTGTTACTTCACATGCAAATATCTCAACAACTGTTCAGCTCAGCAGCATGGAAATGATTTTGTGTTATCTTTCCAAAAATGCATTTGTATTTTAACAAAAATTTTGATGTCACAGGCACTTCGGAATGTTCTCCAAATCAACCATATATTCAACCACTAAAATATGTTTAAAAGCAAAAGTGCATTGTGAGTTTTATGGTTCATCAGTCAAGTACAGACTGAATATAATGTGGGTCTTGTTTGAAGAAAACACTCTTCATTGTAATAAAGCTGACTATATACATCCTCACCAGCTCTGGCGCTGAGATGCTGTGCAGTGTAGACAAGGATGCCATCAGGTGATAAAGGCTGGAACTGCAGCTCCACAACAGTCCTGTGTCTAACACTCATTGGTGGGAATGACATCCACGAAGACTGTTTAGTGCTGAAGAATGGATCACTGATAGTCACAGCTAAACAAATAAAACACAGCATTTAAATAATTATTACCTGAGGGTACTGTCTTTTTAAATAATAATAAAAAGAGCATGTGCAACTGATGAAGTTAGGGGTGACAGGTTCAGTGATGCAACCTTTCTGGCAGTGGAGTCCTGCTGTCCCCAGAGGACACTGGCAGGTATACCCGTTTGGCAGAGGGATGCAGGTGGAGCCGAGGGCACACAGAGGAGGGGGGTTGTGCTCAGCATCACACACAGACACCGTCTCAGTGCAGAGGGCTCCATTCCATCCAAGTGGGCATTGGCAGCTGTAGAGGGGAACAATCAAACACAGTGTAAAGCCTGTAAAGGCTCATTTCCTTTAGCCACATTGCAACAAACCGATGTGGAGTCACAACTGTAACARTGAGAGGAAAACAAAATGCACAAGGCACGAAGGAAAAAAAATTCTTCCCAAAGATCTTAAGCTTACTAAACAGACGAGCCYGAGTCCACGCACGTCCCTCCATTCCTGCAGTGAACGTGAACACAGGGAGTGACTCCACACTGACCCACACTGCGCCCGAAGGCTGGATGACCCGAGGGCTGGCCCACAGCCTGAAACCTTCTGTCCGTTCCAGTCCGAAACTGCACGTTGAAAATGCACCCTTTGACACAAACACATATGTCGGGGTGATGTATTTAWATATTTCTGAAAAAATATGAGACATAAGAGCAAAAATCCAATAATGCTTAAGAAAAACAAAACAAAAAACAAAACATTTTAGGCAGATGTGAAAAAGTCAGGATGAGGTTTTCAGAAATACTGTATATTTAATAAATCAGGTGAATATAAAATAAATTATGCCTAATTAATTTTTGGTTTGGCCACCCTTTGCTTTCAAAACATTTCTTCCATTTCAACTCCATTTGTCTAAAATGCAAAATTCACATTTTAAAGTTTTTTTTAACTCAACTTTGGGTATGTACTTCATAAAAAAACAGTCCTATGGCACCAAAGAAATGCACCCATTGGTATATTTACGCTAAGTAAATGTATTTTTCATGTATATTAATGTCAAGGTTTCAAATCCCACGGCCTGTGATGTCACAGGCTGGACTCTAGCCCACCTCAACCTGAGCCCAGCTCGTTTCCTCGTAACCCAAGCAGAGCCTCCGCCCACTTCCTCACAGGACGGTTCTGCTGCTTCACASTAATGGAGGACAGAGKTGTGTGGATTAATTTTATTTTTATCCAGTTTGTTGTTATTTTTGATGGTAATGTTCTTGCAATATTAAAGCACTTATTAAACAGCCATCTTCCAACCTCTTCTGCCGCTAGAAATAAGTTTTGAACTTCTTCTGCTCTCCTTTCCTCCTGCTTCGCAGCAGGCGGTCATGTCCGCAGCTGATGCAACCTGAGGCTCTGGGGCCACATGTGGCTCTTTGGTCCCTCTGCAGTGGCTCTTTGGAAATTTGACCAAACATAACAGAATTTTTTTTGATACATTAAATCAATTTGTATGCAAATATGTGATCACTATAAAATCAAAAAAAAAAAATACAATACAATACAAAAGGTAAAACATGCTAGTTCATGCTAGCCTGATGTTTACTTAAATAATCCAACTTCTTTCTATGATCTTTCTCTCAAATCCATCAAAGTTACCTTTGTAGAATTTGAAGACTACATAACAATAAGAATTGGGGAAAAATGTGCCTAAATAATTCAGCTGTACTAGTTTTTATGAAATTCGGTGTAAACTATATACAGTATTTTTCTTGTTTACATGAATTTGGTCTTTTCATTTGTTATGGTGTGTAAAAGTAGTAATTAATAATAAAATTCCCAATACATCGTTTAGTTTTATAATGTCACCTCCAGTGGCCATAAAGTTTACCGAAAAGGCCTCGAAAAGGCCCATGGACCACTAGTTGATAATCACAGTTGTAGCTTATTTTGCACCTCTGGACACATTTTATTAGTGAGCCAAGCAGCAGAAATGGTTCTTTTGGTTGTAAATGTTGCAGACCCCTGCTCTAACCACTTCACCATCATGCTGCCATCTTGCTGTACTATAAGTGCTTGACTGACCAAAGTTTCATTTAACATGTTGGCCTGAGAGAGACATAACTGGTGTAGTAATACCACCTCCTGTCTTGTTACTGGGCTCAGTCTTGCCATGACGCATGACTCGTGACATGAAACTGTCCTCCACAACCTCACATTGTTAGTCAAATTTGACTGTTCCTCAACCAATTCTAAGCCTCCTACACAGCTGTTTCTGCTCCAGTTAATCTGTGTTTCAGCCTTTGTAGGAAAATGATGATGAGCAACTGTTTGTTAAAATTAGTTAATCACACACCTGACTGAAATCCGTGATTTTGTGCAAGCGTACAAAGTAGAATCTGTGCTTTTTGGAGGGAAAGGGTGGCCATAGCACATTTTAAGATTGAGATTTTCTTCTTGCTCAATTTTGTCATTTGATACAAACAATTAAAATTCATGTTTGCGCAAGCGTTTATAAAGTTTTTCACACCTGCCTTAAGATGGGGTCCTGAAAAGATTTTCTGAATTAATTACATTTTTGCCTTAGTTGTTACAAAGGAGTGAGGTTAGTATATTTAAAATGGATAAATGTAGTATAAAAGTATTGTTATTATGCCCATGTTTAGTTGACCTGATACAAATGTTTATCATCCAAAAATAGTTGGGGGCACAGGTCTCTGTTACTGTTATTTTGTGGGTCAAAAGCTGAAAAGTTTGGGAACCACTGCACTTTGGTTCCCAAAGTTGGGCTTGGGACCCAATTATGGGTCATGAAGCACCTTGGATAATCTCCAGAAATCAATTTAAAGGGTAATAAAATAATTGCTGATGTAATATTTTCCCTATAATTATTACAAAAACACAAAATAAGAAAAAATAAGTATTTATATTTGTGTACAAGCTGTTTAGATTGTCAAAAAGCCTGTGTTTTTAGGTTTATTAACAAAGTTCATGTACTCAGACCAGTAATATTTGGGGTCACAAGTTTTTGCCATGGATATTGTGTGGGTCAGAAGATAAAAAGTTTGGGAACCACTGGGCTAGACCACTCAAATTCACAGGCACTTTCTTCTGGTCTTTGTGGTCAACAAAGGACCCGACCCATGAAGTCCGGGTCCTTCAAAGGACTCAGAACCTAAGAAACCCAAGAGAAGAGATGCCTCCACTCTGAGCGTGGTATCTTGCAACATCATGAGGCTGAACATCCTTTTATTTTCCGAGTTTGAGTGAAGCGACTCCATTTCTCAGCAAAAACGATCTTAAACTAAAACTTGCATAAAAGCTGGCAGGTGTTATGCGTAACGTCAATGCTAGTCCTTTATGTTTTTATGCTTTTCACCTGCCTTTTGCACAGTGCAGTAAATCATTTTAATTTGATAGGTTAAAATCTCTGCAGAATTTCTAGTTTCCATCCAAGATTCTTGTCCCCCTCCCCCTGCTCCTACCCAAGTTCCCACCCCACCCCATCTGTTATTTAGCATCTCCAGCATCGTATTTGCTTTCTGCGATCATAATTCAATTTTATCAAGACAATATTTGCTTTGGCCTGCACCTCCAGTGCCCTGGTCCTTCTATAAATATAAGGCCCGAACACAACCCCTCACAGTCATCTGCACATGCTGACTCTCCCCTCTCAGCTGCATTAGTCATTGGCATAAACAGGATGCAGGGGAAATGTCATGCTCGTTCATGAATATTCATGGCATGATGCTGTCTACTTGGCAGACTCAAATGATGGTTGTGCTGCAAACACAGACCCGGCAAAAAGCAAAGCAGATTAGAGACGATTGCACATTTTGATTTAACTGCGTTTAGGAGAAACTCAAGCAGGTACAATTACACCTGCTGTAGAAAAAAAAAAGCCTAGCCGTCTTTTAAAGCATGCATACCACCTGTTGCCTTTCATGCTAGATTAGTAAATTAACACCATTTTATATTGAGAAAATAAAGTTGTAGCCATTTTGGTAAAACCTTGTAAATGCAGTTATGGGAAATCCCTAAACTTCACAATTATTTTAAAACATATTTAAAATGTCYGTACCACTTTACAATAAGTCTCCCCTTATAGATGGTTTATAAATAGTTATTAATTCATCTGTAAACACTTTATAAATCATTAAGAAGTGTTTATTATGCAATAATTAAGGATGAGAAAGAGACAAAACTGTCCAGTTTACTGCTAAATAGTGAGCCATGTCTGTTCATATTACAACTAAAGCTGCTACATTAAACATTTCAGACTAGGTTTCTACCATGTAAGCACAATGATGTATTGGAAACATATTTTAGATTTAATATTGTACTGTATTATTATTCCAATACATTCTTTTCCTTACAATGTAGAAACCTAGTCTGAAATGTTTAATAAAGCACCTTTAGATGTAATAAGAACTTGAACAGATTTGGCTCACTATTTGGCAAGAAACCAGACAGTTTTGTCTCTTTCTTATCCTTAATTAATGCATAATAAACACTTCTTAATGATTTATAAAGTGTTTACAGATGAATTATTAACTATTTATAAGCCATCTATAAGGGGAGCCTTATTGTAAATTGGTACCAAAATGTCTTATAACAAATTTATTAATCAACAAGATTATCCTCGTTTTTTTCTGTCTTTTTGAGCAACAGTTTAAAGTGAGTGACACCCCCTCCCCGACCCCCACCCCAGACAGCGTTCACGTCCATCTTTCCACAGGGGAGGAGTGTGGATCTGTTGATAACTGAGGCTGAAGTGCATTATCAGTGTGTTTGCTGCCAGCCATCATGATTAGGGCTTGAGGAAGGTCACACAGATCTGATTACACACTCATGAGTTCTCATTYCAGTCGGAGTAGAAAGGTTATGGTTCTTCTGCCCCCCGCTCAGGTAGTAGTGACTCTGATCCAGCAGGATCAAACCAGTGTTCTTAACGCGACTGATTTGATTTTTGCAGGTTTATTTGGTGAGCAGACCCCCCCGCCCAGTCCTTGAGAATAAAAAAAAAAAAGCTTTTGTTCGCCTTAAATGCATCTGCCACGACGTTTTATGATAACGAGCATCATCGCCGTGGCGCAGGGACTGCCGAATATGGTTGTGATCATATTCATAGCCGTTGTCATTACAGTTACGGCAATTTTCGCTGCACGGCTCCACACAATAGCGGGCACAATGAATTCTCTCCAAAATCCATTCTTACACGAGGTCACCTGGGAGAATGCACAAATGATGCTGATGTTGACAAAGATGATTTGGATAGTGCCCTTGTTCGAGTGACTTATCAGCAGCGGAATGAATTTACACACAACACACTGTATGGGCTGTGAAGCAATTACAGAGCAGAGATARAATCAACCTCAAAGCCCCGTTTTTGGCCTGTAACTCCCTTTTCATTACAGACTTCCCCTGTTTCTTGCAAAGAGAGAGAAAAAAAAAAGACTCAGATCCTGGGAGAAACTCCAAACCCTGGTGCTCTCTGTGCCGATAGCAGATCTGGGCTGTAATAAAGCCGTAGCAGTCTTACCTTGAAAGCCTTGACGGAATTTGGAGCCAACTGGCAGCAGTTCAGGGGTGAACTCATTATAGCCACCTACAAAGAGCTGGCTGAAAACATTGAGGCCCACCAAAGGTCCAGGAGAAAATCCTGTTCTGTTACGATGCCCATCAACCTGAGGGAGACGAGAGGAAACATCGATATTCAAACTGGAACCGTATGTCTGTAGGTGTCAAGGGTGGGAGAAGAATTTCACAGTCTGTAAAAGCTGACAAAAGTATAATTTGGGATTTATTAGAGTTATTTAGTCAKAGTAACTAATGAACTCCCACAGTTTTCCCTCCGTAGTCTTTTGGGCACTATATTCTCTGTCAGACAATGCTGTTCTACTTGACCACAAGACTAAAAGAATTTGTTGATTTATTAATTCCAAACTTTGATTGGAAAGCAGAATACATATACAAAACTCAATAAGTATGTTATTTATTTATGGGTTTTTTTTGGAAAAAGAAAACACGTGTGCTCCAGCTGTTTGTCAGAATGGACGACCGTTGCGATGAAAAGAAATAAAAATGTAAACACCTTCAGCCATCCTGTCTTCTTTGACCTTCCGAAGGCGACCGTGTGGACGTTGATGTGGAAGTCGAGTCGATCGCTGACTATGGTCGCTACKCCTGATCCCAGGTTGAACCGATGTATGACCCTTCCGCTTCGTAGTCCCAAAACGAGAAAGTCATCACCGTCACTACCTGGAGGACACGCAGGGAACAAAAGTGTTCAAAATGTCCTGATGCATCTTAATAATCCAGGTAGAAAACTCTACCTGTACAATACTGTTAGCATGACTCAGCACTCTGAACAGTAAGCAGCTATCAGGGCATTAACGATCAGTTGTTAGGCTGATGGTCCTCTTTTGATTGTGAACAAGTTTTGATTCATTAAACTGGTTGATCTGCTTATAAGGCTGAGTTTACCTGCATCTCCTCAGACTGAGAGTCTCTTGAAGAAGAGATGAAATGTTTCAATAAAGAAGAACCTGCCCAGAGGACCTYCTCTTTTTTTCCTTCACATTTTGTGTTCAACARTTTGTACAAAAAGAAAGASATAACAGCACAACATAAACAAATTTAAGTTTATTTGTCCAAACTCATGTTCTCCCCTGTTGTTTGTAATGGTGCCTCCTCTTTATAGTAGTTACCCAGAGAATTGATCATATTTCATATTTACTGCCAGCCTCTAAAAGGCAAAGGTGTACAATCATGTTTTGTGTGTGAATGCCTGTTTGTTACCAAATATCTCATAAACATCCATCCATCCATCCATCCATCCATCCATCCATCCATCCATCCATCCATCCATCCATCCATCCATCCATCCATCCATCCATCCATCCATCGTTGGGTCTCATGAACCTAACCAACTGAAAAAAAAAAACTTTTAAAGAAACTTGCAGAAAGTAATCACTTTTCTACATCTACAACTGATTAAATTTTGGGGTCAACCTGGTTGAAGATGGCCGCCACAACAAACCGACCATAGGGCCYTGTCCAAAWTCAGAGGCTACATCCTTCCAAAGACATTTTTTAGCCACTTGCAGCACAGCAATGTGCCAAAGGCTGTCTAAATTTGAAGACCCCTCCAATTGCYGCCCACAAACGTGTCATGTTTTGACCCAATTATGAGGGATGTGTCCGGTGTGTCCTTGGCCCAGCCTGTCCCCAGATTCTTGTAATGGCGGACGAAATGAGACACACTAAGTACAATTAAAATCTGGCTGTACAAAAGTTGAAAGTTTAAAGCAGTGTTGTTAGTTTTTTTTGTCATTTGAATGCTTTTTAAATTATGTTTTTATCAGAAATCTTTGTAAAAGGGTTTGTATGGCAGGTCCCTTAGTTCTTAATTTATTGCCTCTTAGCCAATTGTGTTTATAATATTAAAAGGGGCAGTATTATGTGTTTCCCAGGCATACATTTAAATACTATTCCATAATAAAGTATCTATGTCACCTTTAGCTGTTTAGCCTTTTTATGTTTAAACAGAAAATAAACTTATCTTCTCATCACTTCCTCTTCTAAACGCCTTGAAATTGGCCTCTGTCTCTTTAAGAATCAACTTCCGCTTCTGTCCCGCCCATTTCAGTGTGAGGGGGTTCACGCTCACGGGGCCTGCAGTCTACTTACCATCTAAAATACATTTCCTCAAAGTTATTTTTAATCTGAAAAGAGCTTCAKTGAGTGAGAGCTAATGTTGAGAGCTCAGCAGACAGTTTAACTTTCACTTTCATTATATTATATTAACATGATAACATGAGATAAAACTCAAAAAAGTTGATTTTACATGATACTGCCTCTTTAATAATAATAATACGCTAATTTCTGATTAGTGCTGTCCTGATTGCTAGGCGACAGGACATACGCCAGGGTAAGGGCAGGAATAGGCTAGACCACTCAAATTCACAGGCACTTTCTTCTGGTCCTTGTGGTCAATAAAGGACCRGACCCATGAAGTCCGGGTCCTTCAAAGGACTCAGAACCTAAGAAACCCAAGAGAAGAGATGCCTCCACTCTGAGCGTGGTATCTTGCAACATCATGAGGCTGAACATCCTTTTATTTTCCGAGTTTGAGCGAAGCGACTCCATTTCTCAGCAAAAACGATCTTAAGCTAAAACTTGCATAAAAGCTGGCAGGTGTTATGCGTYACATCAAAGACTAGTCCTTTATGTTTTTATGCTATGTCTTTGTTTCCAGTAAGAGTTGCTGCTCACTCTCCTGGCAAGTGTTTCATTATCAGCATTCCTCTTGRTCTGTTTTGCCTCCACCTCGATGAACCACACTCTCAGGAGAAAACTACAGCGAGATCTATTAGAAATTGTGATCCCCACCTCATCCCAACACCACAATTTTTGATGAAATATGCTGCTGACAATGGCACAGCAGTTACCTGCTGCCTAATCTGACCACGATGAAAGGCAATACTAATTTCACGCGAGAGGTCCCGACAGCACCAAAGCGCACGCCCACACCTGAAAGTCTGTTCGGTGTGATTARCTTTCCAAATGTTCATTTTGTGTGKGTGATGTCAAAATGCACCATGCAKGTCAGGGAGAATAAAACATCTGCTGGAAATCAAATAATTGCTGGACTGTTAGGAAAGTTGTTAATAACGTCTGAAAATCCACCCAAAAAAAGAGGGAGAAAATCCTCAGGGAAGCCTCCTGATTAGATGATCTCAGAGGAGAGTAGAAATCCATTAGACAGCACATTACCATACACAGCAGGTGAGTTAAATGGCTTTTTTAAACATCCTCATTTAAGTTGGACAACTACAACTAAAGAAGACATCAAAGGAGTTTATTTTTGTCCTTTGGTTTACACAACGGTATGAATCATTTTAAATTGGTCCGTGGGAGTCAGGACAGAGCTCACCTTGTCCTTTGTGTCCAGCAAACAGGATCAGGTTGTCTCTGACAGCAGATGAGTTATTTGCAAGTGTGAACTTCAGCTTGAACTCGTAGAAGAGGCTCAGGCTCGGGATGGAGGTGTAAGCCACGAAGGACGTGTAACCAAACTCATCATGCCCACTGAATCTGGCACGAGTTATATTGATGTCTGCAAAAATGAGAGAGAGAAAAAAAAGCATATTAAGATGAGATGCTCCAGGCTCTACAGCAATTCTGTGATAATCTTGTCGAAAATTGAAAGCTCARTTATTAGCTCTTTCTCAGCTCACCAAAAGATGGCACTATTGCCACACATTACACACGTGGCCTTTGAGAAATACATGTATTTTCTTTTCTGATGCTYTTAGATGATGACCTGTTTTCAGATACTTCCACCTCCTCATTCCTTTTCCATTTCTATCAGTGGCTGTTTAGGAGGGATTCTGGCATTGAGGCTTTGCTTCGTATGRAATGTTCACAAAGGGTAGCACAATAATCCCAAAAAAATTCAATTACAATCTTCAATTTAGATATTCAGAACGCATGGTTGATTCAATAACACCCCCCCAATGCATTTKATCTGAGCAGACCCATCTACTTGATTTGACACTGGGGACTCAATGTAAATTTAGCCACGCACAATCAAAATTACATGCTGCTTTCTTTTTCTTTTTCTTTTTTTTTTTACTTCTTCTTCACAGCAGTGCAGACTCAGACACAAAATCTGCGCCTCTTCTCCGTCCGGAAACTCCTCCTCCTCCTCCTGCAGCCCACGGCGATGGCTAAGAGTGGTTCAGAGCCCCCCTCTGCGACTGCCCTCGGCTCAGTTCGGCTGCTAAATTATTAACAAAGCTGCAAATGCTTCTGTTATTGTCTTCCAGAGCCGTGTTTGCCCATCGCCTCGGTGAATATCCACAACACTTTGACTCCGACTTATTTTCAAACTGAGCGACGTTTGATTTGATCTCTTACGTGTTGAGCTTCATGTCCTTCATCCAGCTCTGTGGCTCAACATTAATACCCCACGGAGCAGATGAATAAAGAATCAAACGCTTCGCAAATGGAAACTGAATGATTCATTTGATGCAATTATATAACTCTTTGAATTTGTAATCAAACCTGATTTTGTTGTAAAGTTACTTTGACAGCTTTAAAAAAAACAAATTATTTTTCCCATGTAGCATGATTGATGTGCAATGAATTGTGTTTATAGGAATAAACAAAAAGGTCGTCTTTAATTAATGAGCCCCAAATCCCTCCAGTGTGTGGCACACTACCATCGAAGTCATAAAAACTTCAGTTTTCTCTTCAGAATAAAAAAAAAAACAGAACATGTTCTCCAGCTTCACAGAAGCTCCACTAAAAGTTGTGTTTTGTTTGATTTGACATGTGCTGCATCAGAAATCACTCTCCCCATCTAGAGCTGATTCAAAAGACAAAAGGAATTGAGATGCTCCAGTTTTTGGGATCAGTGGATCTGTGTCACTTCGTCGTGGATGTGCTCAGTGACGTGCAATATTCACAACCACAACAGCCGTCGTTGGCTTTCAGGATGCAGAGGGTGCAGCTTCTGGATTACCTCCTTAAAGTGCATTCATCTGTGGGTTGTAGCTGCACGTCCTTTTTTTTCCCCCTTTCGAGAAGATTTAAATACATTTCTCCCCACTTTGTCGTGTTTGTGTAATACAGTGTGATGCAAACCAACAAGAGCTGCTGAAGAAAAACAGAGTGACACGCAGCAGCAGATTGTGAAATGAGTTCTGACATAAAACTGCTTGCACACGATGTGCTTCTTAGCTGCCTCGCAGGAGCTGAAAACACCACTTTTCCCCGACTTAAATACAAATGCTGCGTTAAGCACTCTGTTTTTAAATCTCGGCGCAATGAAAGGTTAACAAAAAACATATACCACACTAAATCAATACTAAACACAAGTAAATGGACTGTATAAAATACACATATTTCGCCCCTCTGGGCAGATTATTTGTTGATTTATGAAATAAAGCAGGTGAACCAATGCAAACCCCTGCAGCAGAAAAAGACAGTAAAATATGAGCAATTTGTTGAATGATAATGCGCGGCAATTGTAGTTTATTTCATGAATATAACTCAGAACATGACAGATCTAAATTGACTTGCAGTTGCGCAAAGCGACAGATGACTTTTTTAAAGCTTACGGTAACTCTCAGCCAGTGCGGACTTCTCTAAAGCAACTGATGGAGGGGCTGAAAATGAAGCTAAATGATGCCTACGAAGCACAGGAAGACTATAAAAAGATATCAAAGTGCCTCCAGCTAGAAGCCTCCACAGATGCTACGTCGTTAGGAAATGGCAGTAAAGGTAGCTGACAAGACAAAGACCGGAAGAGCAAAACTGCGCATCAACTGGGCAGAAACAAATATTCTTTAGGACTGATGCACAAACCAGGGGTCACCAACATAATTTGCTTAGGGACCAAATTTTTTCATAACAAACTCTATGAGGATTAGCTTTTATTGTACAAAAAATGCTAATAATGCATGTGAGGCTCACAGCTGTCAGTCATTAGTCAAACAGTTGTAAACCTGGCAACCTGGACTTCTTTTTGTGCTACACCAATTATATTCTCATAGCAATTAGACTGACGGACACAGCTGATGCGTGACCCAGATAAAAGTGACGACAAACAACGAGTTTCTTTCTTTACCGGAGGTTACYGTTAACGGTTTATTGGCTAGAGGAGGCGTCAGATTGAATCAGGGACAGACGGTCAGAATGATGATGGTCGAGGCTCATCTGAGCGGGAAATCTGACAGACAAACCAGCTGATGATGCGCTGCATGAAATACTGTAATGTCAGAAATGAAGGACATTTTTCTCAGGAAGTGGGGCATGGCGTTAAAAGCTTGAGAACCACAGATTGCATTAATCATACATGTATTTCAGCTTCACTTTATGCACAGAGTTTGTTATTTAGCACAAACAGGCTATTTATTAGAGATGCTGTAAGCAGTCAGCTTTGTTTAACTATACGTTTTGCCAGTTTTATTTAACTAAATTGTTAAGTTTTTTATTTTAAGTGAAGTTATGGTTGTTATTGTTTTCTAAAATCACTTTAAAGGAAGGTTATTCCACAGCACATTACAAAACTGACAAAACTGGACTTTTTAATTCCTAATTGGTTACTTTAATAAAAATAAATAAATTAATGCAAAACATCTTAAATAAAATAACTCTTTTTAACCCTGTTTCTCACATTGTTTTCATCTTTTAGTAAATAGTGTGTGTGTCTGTACTGAATGAAGGAATCAGCTGAAGGTGACCTTACCTGCGACACTGTTTAAATCTGAATGATCCAAACCAACTCAGGATAAAGSAAAGCGGCTTTAGAAACAAGTGCAATTACAAAAAAAAGCTCTTAAGCTTACTCCTTGTTCAAAATTACAGAAGGAGAGTTTGAAGACAAAGCAGCACTTAAAAGGAAAACATTACCTGACTGCAAAGCCTGATGGGTAAAAATACTTGGCTTTGGGGCTGTGAGGCAGCCTGTAGCACAGGAAGCCGCATGAATAAAGAGAAAGAACTAATTACTCTTAAGCATCAGCTAAATCTGAGAAAAGTCCTCCTCAAAGTAAAAGCCTGCTGTTACAAAAGAGCAATTATCAGAAGCAGYCGTTAAAAACCTCCATGACTCTGCCTACATCAGGGAGGACGAGACAAACTTCTTTGAKTTTTCGGTGACTTGCACATCATTGTCACTCTGTAGGCAGATTTTTAAGCATACTGTGCAAGCAAGGCCTCTAAGCATTTTCAAACTTGATGTAAACTGCAGGAAAAAAAAAACACATTTCTGGATCATGAACAGAAAATCTTGTTGCCTTCAATAACAAGGCATTAATATTTGATAAAAAGCTCACTTTAAAATGTTTCCTTTTGAACTCATAAAAGCAACGAGACATGCAACCTTTGCACGAGGCCACAAATAAAATAAAATAAAACCTTACAGTATACTAGTTGATACTCGCTTCTTATTGTAAGATTGTGTTAAATTTACAGACTGGTTTTGTTGCATTAGCTTTTCTTGCTTCGTAGTACATTCCTACTGAAGAGGAAACATTCATAATATAAAACTGTTAAACGAACACGTATCATCCACCACCTTCAATACCAATGTTTTTAACAAAATTTGTTAGCTTAATGCTTAGCTACTACAGAACAAAACATTGGTTAATATTTGCAAAACAATTCTAGACTTTTCTGTATCTTTCATTAAAACCCAATCAGTGGGTCATGAGATATTTTGCTAATAAACAGTTAATGCCAAACTTTTAAACTAAGATCTTATGTGACCCTTAACAATCAAATTATGTGATGGAGATGACTCTCAGCTACTACCACACTAAGTTTTAGCTCAGTGTCTCTGACACTGACAAAATTATAGCAAATTTTGTGTTTGCATGCAGTTAGCTGAGGCGGCCATCTTAAATTACGTTCATTCATGAGGTTAATGAGATGTATTTGTCTATCTAATAATGGCTTTCTGAAACTTTCAGTGAAATCATCTTATGGGTTCATGAGATATTTTGCTAACAGACACARACAGAAAACCCCCCTTAATTAAATAAATAAAGAATTGGTTAGAATTTTTTAAACATGACTAAAATACAGTGTAGTCTTTTCTGTTTTCTTCCTATATCACTGTAAATACCCAGCTTTAACTGGTGCTCTGGTTAAACTGTGTTCAAAATAGGTCATTAATAATTATGACACTTTTAATACTCATTAATGATGCATGATTTTAACTCTTGGGGCTTCCCAGCCTCTATTTCTGGTCTTCTCCGTCTCTTTTATTTTTAACTTGTTCWCAGCTTCTCGTGTTCACCCAACAGATTCCTGACTGAGTGTGGGGAAAAAAAACACTGAAAACATTACTTAAAAAACAAAACATATTGCTGTTGGAACTGACCTGGTACACAAATTACAGTACTTCAAAACTAACTAACTAACTAACTAACTAACTAACTAACTAACTAACTAACTAACTAACTAACTAACTAACTAACTAACTAACTAACTAACNAACTAACTAACTAACTAACTAACTAACTAACTAACTAACTAACTAACTAACTAACTAACTAACTAACTAACTACACAGCTAGGTTATGTTGCAGTTACTGTTGTTATTTTGCTGAAGTGCCATGTGCTTCAAGTTTAAAGAGCAAAGAAAAAAAATGCGGGAAAAGCAGCAGGAGGCAGGGTAGTGATCAGTTTTCGACTCTGATCTAATCTGATGTTTCAGGATTAAAATCCAAATGTCAGCTATGTACTTAGTGTGAAAATAGAAGGTTAGACTTCTCTGTTTGGCAACCGGGTGCTGTGATCCCGACAGGAGCTGTGGCACGGCTGAGTGACTTATATGCCAAGCGCCCCGCTGTCGCTGCAGTCAGTCTAGTCAAGCAAAACCCTTTGTTTCTGAGAGCCACGACCTGTGAAGCCTTTCTTTATGACACTTGTTTGAAACTAAGGACGCCAAACAGCATACGAAGTGTTGCAGAAAGAAACGTGGCCATAAGTATCGTTCAGAAGCGGTACAGCAGTTCTAATCAACAGACTGCTTAATAATCATGTTGTCGGCTCTGAGTGCGGCGCTTCAATCTTACATTACAACACAGTCTCACTGAAAAAAACATTTCCATAGATTCAACAGCCTAGCATTTCTTTGAGTATATGACACTCAAGCTCCTACCACACCAAATGTTAGCACCATATGTGTAAAACTGAGTGAATTATAATTGTTCTTGTGTTTTTAAGATCTGTTGACTGTGGCGGCCATCTTGAATTGGGCTGACCTAAAAAAATATTCAGTTCATTCTGTGATGCAGAAGTTCGGCTTGGAGACACAAAGGAGGAGCTGCACCTAAAAGGCGGTTCTAGGACCAACCGGCAACTTTTGCTCTCCTGAATGGATTTCACAAACATGCATTAATGAGTCAAAGCAACACTCTGTGTATGTTTTTGATGAGGGAATGATGTTATAACATGAAAGCTAAAAAAAGATTTTTCATGACATTTCCCCTTTAAAGTCTGCTGTTATACATGAGATATTTGCTAATAGAGTTGAATCCAAACGGTTAATGGTAACATTTTAAAGGGGCAATATTATGTGTGTCTCAGGCATACATTTAAATACTATACCATAATAAAGTATCTATGTGATCCATAGTTGTTATTAAAGTGCTGTTTTTATGTTTAAATAGAAAATAAATTTATTTTCTCATCACTTCCTCTTCTAAATGCCTTGAAATTGGCCTCTGTCTCTTTAATAACCAACTTCTGCTTCTGTCCCGCCCATTTCTGTGTGCGTGTGTGTGTGTGTGTGTGTGTGTGTGTGTGTGTGTGGGGT